ATGCGGGACTCGATCCCAGGACCCTGGGATCATGACCTGAGCCGAAGGCAGACGCTTAACGACTGAGCCACCCAGGCGCCCAGTTTTATGTAGCTTCTTATAAACCAATTTTTAAAGTAATTTCCTCAATTCCAATGAGGGAAATTTGATTTCAGTTGCCAGTATTCATGTTCCAGAAAACAATACGCACTTTGTTCTATAATTATATGATGCCTATTGTTTTAGCCCAGAGGCATTATTTTATTTATTCCACAGTCAGCTTCTCCCCATAGCCTAAGTCACAGGCTGGTAATGAGTTGGGTGCTCAGAGGAGAACCGCCATGTATCCAGCATCCCCTTGTAACCTTGAAGAGCTGAGGCACACCCCTCAGCCCCTGAGCGATCACCCAGAAGTTATGCCTCGGCTACCGGCAGCAATGAGGAAAAACAGACAGAGGTTAAATGACTTTGGTAGTGGCTCACCAAAAGTCACCACGAGTCTGAGATGGCACGCGTGGGCTTTTCCATCTCTGCCTGCTGCCCTGCCTGGAGCCTTCTCTTTGGCCAATGCCCGCATGCCCTGGCCTGAGGAATGCAGCGTGGAGAAGGAGACGGGGTGGGGAAGCGGGGGCACCATGCTTGCGAGCAGTTCTCTGCCTTCCTGCCAGTCACCTCATTTTGATGCCCCATCACTGGCAACGTTCAGGTGGGTGGGAAGCAGGAGGTGGGTGCCTCTGTTGTCAAATCCAAAGAACCAGAACACAGTCCCTGGGGAAAGCCTAGCTCGGCATCTCGTGCGATCCATTCACTGAGTATCTGCTGAGGGCCCACTAGGTGCTAGGCCCTGTGCCAGGCCCTGGGGATGCAGGGGAGCTCACGTCCTAGTCGGGGGAGACAGATACAAACGGTATGCTAAGTGGTAGTAAGTGACAGATGGGGTGGGGGTTATAGACAGGGTGGGCAGATAACATTTGAGCAGACTTGAAAGAGGGGATGCAAGCCAGACTGACAGCCTGGAGGAGGGGGCAGGATGCCTGGCATGTAGGCAACAGCCAGGGGCTGCAGCACTGGAGTGGAATGAGCAAGGGAGAGTGGAGGAGGTGTGGATGGCAGGTCATCCCTGCAGACCCTCTAGGGCTGTGACTCAGGGCGAGGGGGTAGGGTCCGACTGCGGCGTAGAGGAAGAGCAGAGGGGCAAAGGTGGAGGTCCCCGCTGTCCCCCAGATGAGAAGATGGTGTTTTGGCCCACTGGTCACAGGGGAGGGACTAAGAGAAGGTCAGACTCTGAATACATGGTGAAGGAGAGCTCTGCTTCCTCACCCTGTGAGGACTGGGCTTTGTTCCGTTTTCTGGCTTGGGTTTTTTTCCTGAGGATCACACATGGCCTGAGGGATGTGTGGTCCCCGTGACCACATCACCAAGGGGGCAGCAACAGGAGGGGGCTCCAGAACCCGAGCCCGGTCGAGGCCGTCCATCCAGGAGGATGGGCTGTGGGCATGAAGGCTCAGGGAGGCAGACGAGGGAAAGTGCCAGGGGGCCCCCAGCGCCAGACCCCCTGCGAGCAGCTCTGGGATTGCCCTTTGGGATGGAGTCCCCCCTGGAACCAAGCAGGTGAGGCATTGAGGGGTCCCCGCGGTGGGAGCTGCACCCAGCTGCCCTGCCCTATTTTCAAGCTGCCACCTCGCCATGGAGCCTCCAAGCAAAATATATTTTCCTCCAGACTTAGGTTTTGACACACAAACGGCTTAGACCAGAAATATGTCAGCCCAGAATTGACTAACCATTAACTTTTCATAAGCAACTCAGGTATGAACCTTTATGACTCTGTTATGACACAGGACCAATCAGCTATCTGGTGTTTTATTTTTATTATCGAAGCTTCCACAGAGTGATAGGAATGGGGCTTTTCTAAGCAGAGCAATGCTTCAGAGAAAACTCACTGGGCCCTAGCCGCCCTCTGCAATATTTTACTCCATTGGGAGTGCTGGTGTGTATTTTTTTCCTGATCATGAAAGCGGGCTGCATGCATCCACGATCCACCTTCCCCCCTGGGCCCTCCCCCAAGCTTCTCTCTGAGCCCGCACTCCCTCACCGAGCTAATTAGCCAAAAATCGTCCTTACGGGACTCAAGATGGTGGCAGTGAGGCCCTCTGGAGTGTGAGCGAGGCAGAGGGTCAGCATGTCAAGGAGCTGCTCTGTGGCTGCCTTGGATAACCCTTGTGACACAGTGACTGGTGGCCTTCCTTCCCACCTGCCACCAGAGTGCTTCTGGGGAAAGGGGCACAGGGAACGGCAAGAGGGATGGTTTGGTGTTGGCTCCAGGGGGCCAAGAGGAGTTTTGCATGTCCTGTTAAGAATAACAGGAAAACTGGGGTGCCTGGGTGGCTCAGTCGGGTTAAGCGTCTGCCTTCGGCTCAGGTCATGATGCCAGGGTCCTGGGATCGAGCCCCCTGCTTAGCGGGGAGTCTGCTTCTCCTTCTGCCTCTGCCCCTCCCCCGACTTGTGTGTGCTCTCTCTTGTGCTCACTCTGCTCTCTCTCTCAAATAAATAACATCTTTTTTAAAAATAATAATAATAATAATAATAATAGGAGCAAGGTTGTCGAGGCTGTTCTTACAGAACCCCTGGCATCCGCCCCTCCTGGCTCCCTTTTATGTCCCTTCTCTTGCTTTTTGTTTGCCTTCATTTTCCTCAGAGTTCTGTTTCCCTTCTTGGGTTAGCCAGGTCTCAGCAAGGCACCTAGAATTATTTTGGGACAAAGTGGATCTGAACCAGTGGTAGGCCATCTATCCCTGCAGGCCAAACCTGTCCCACCACCTATTTTTTTTTTAAATAAAATTTCACTGGGGGCGCCTGGGTGGCTCAGTCGGTTAAGCGTCTGACTCCTGATTTTGGCTCAGGTCATGATCTCAGAGTCGTGAGATCGAGCCCCGCCTCCAGCTCTGCGCTCAGCACGGAGTCCGCTTGGGTTTCTCTCTCCCTCTGCCTCTGCCCTCCTCCCGACCCCATTCAGTCGCTCATTCTCTCTAATTAACAAATCTTAAAAATAAATAAATAAAATTTCTTTGGAACTTAGTGATGCTCATTAATTTATGTATTGTTACATTATCTTGGTGCTACAAGGCAGAATTAAATAGTTCACAGAAACCCTATGGCCCACAAAGCCAAAAATATTTGCTATCTGTCCCTTTAAGAAAAACTTTCTTGTTTTTAATTCGTTAGTTAACATACAGTGTTATATTAGTTTCAGGTGTACAATATAGTAAGTCAACACCTTCTCACACCACCCGGTGCTCATCAAGTACACTCCTTAATCCCCGTGGCCTATTTCACCCATCCCCCCCACCACCCTCCCGTCTGGTAGCCATCAGTTCTCTAGAGTTGAGTTCTTGGTTTGCCTCTCTCTTATTTTTTTTCTTTGCTTTTTCATTTTGTTTCTTAAATTCCACCTATGAGTGAAATCATATAGTATTTCTTTCTCTGACCAACTTATTTCACTTAGCATAATACTCTCTACCTCCATCCATGTTGTTGCAAATGGGAAGATTTCATTCTTTTTGATGGCTGAGTAATATTCCCTGGTATATGTACCACATCTTTATCCATTCATCAATCAATGGATACTTGGGCCGCTTCCATATCTTGGCTATAGTAAATAATGCTGCAATAAACAGGGGTGCGTGTATCCCTTTGAATTAGTGTTGTTGTGTTCTTTGGGTAAATACCCAGCAGTGTGATTACTTGATCCCCATCACCTGTTTCACTCACCCCTGGCCCCCCCCCCCGTAACCATCAGTTTGCTCTATAAAGTTAAGAGTCTGTTTCTTGGTTTGCCTTTCTCTTTTTTTTTCCCTGTTAATTTGTTGTGTTTCTTAAATTCCACACATGAATGATAATAATATGCTATTGGTCTTGCTCGGACTTATTTCACTTATCATTATACTCTCTAGCTCTGTCCATAGTGTTGCAAGCAAATGGCAAATTTCATTCTTTCCGATGGCTGGATATTCCTATATATATATTGGAATATACATACACAATATCCAATATTATATATATGTATATATATATATACACCACATCTTCTTTATCCATGTATCTATTGATGGACACTTGGGCTGTTTCCATAGTTTGGCTATTATAGATAATGCTGCTATAAACATTGGGGTGCATGTACCCCTTTCGATTAGTATTTTTGTATTCTTTGGGTAAAAACCTAGTGGTGCGATTGCTGGATCATAGGGTAGCTCTAGTTTTAACTTTTTGAGGAAGCTCCATACTGTTTTCCACAGTGGCTGCATCAGTTTGCATTCCCACCAATAGTGCAAGAGGGGTCCTTTTTCTCCACATCCTCACCAACACCTGTTGTTTCTTGAGTTGTTGCTTTTAGCCATTCTGACAGGTGTGAGGTGATAGCTCATTGTGGCTTTGATTTGCATTTCCCTGATAAGTGATGATGAGCTTCTTTTCATGTGTCTGTTAGCCATCTGTGTATCTTCTTTGGAGAAATGTCTGTTCATGTCTTCTGCCCACTTTTAATTGGATTATTTGTTTTTTGGGTGTTGAGTTTTATAAGAAAAACTTGCCAGCCCTAAACAAGGCCACCCTGCAGAGCTGCTCAGCAGGTGGACAAGAGCCCCAAGCAGGATGAGGATTAGTAAGAGGGGCAGGTGAGCCCAGTTCTTAGAAAGCGAGAGGAATGAGCGGGAAGGTGTTCCAGCCCGTCCTCCCAGGGAGGGCGATTCAGGCCTTAAGTGGATGTACAAGGTTCAGGTTCCAACAACATGGAAGAGAGATGCAGTTCCTGCGGCCTAGGCCGGCCCGGCCCCGCGGGCAGCTCTGGCCAAGCAAAGGGGCTCAGCTGTAGTGTTTCTGTTTTCCGGGAAAAGCGGGAGACCGGGCTCTCCTTCCCAGCCTCCTCATCAGAGAGGCCAACCTCATTGTCTTCCTCGCCCTGTGCAGGACTTCGGAGAGGACAACTCCCTCTACATCACTAAGGTGACCACCGTCCACGTGGGCAACTACACGTGCCACGCCTCCGGCCATGAGGAGCTCTTCCAGACCCACGTCCTGCAGGTGAATGGTTAGTAAATGGCTCCATGCATGTCGTCCCCTCGAAGCGCTCCCAAAATGCTGCTCACGGCAACCCTCCCTGCTCCTGTATTCTCTCTTAAAGATGTGTCCGAGCCCAAGATAGCCTCGTAAGTAAGTTTACTTACTTCCGTAAGTTTACTCTCTCGCAAGTAAAGGGGAGCAGTGGAGAAAGGGCGAAGTCGGCCGACCAGTTTGTCTGGCTTCACCGGGAAGCCTCCTCTGATGAGGTGGTGGTGGTGCCAGGGGGTGAGTCGCTCGGGCTAGTCACGCTGGGCCACCGAGGCTCCCGCAGACCCCGTAGAACATGCCCTGCCCTCCCATGGCAAAGGCCAGTGGTGCTGCTCTGGGATCCCCGAGTAGCAGAAGCTGTCTAAAACACACCACTGTCCTTCCAGTGACATGCACACATATCACTTGTCCACCGGAAGGCGCTCCTTCCTCCAACGGGGGCTGGGTCCCATCTCCCCACCGGAGAGGCTCACCAAGCGTGGGCCCGGCTAAGACAGAACCTGAGCAAGCTCGGGAGGTTTTCATTGCTTCTCACGGACCCCCGTGTTGCCGGGACTCCTGGACACTGGGAATGTGAAACCCCTCCTGAGGACAACACCAACAACTAAAACAGCCAGGGTTTTCTGAGCACAGAGAGGGTGAATCACTGGCCAATCCCTGTGCTAACACATCACCTAGACTTTCCCGGTCAGTATGTTCTTACCCACGTTATGAGCCCGGCCTGGCCACTCCAGCCATCAGAACAAACAAGGCATCACGGTGTCTTGGCAGATCAGCACCCCACAGAAGTTAGATGTGTCCAGCCAGGCCTAGCTGGGCATCACTCCTAGCACTGAGCAGGGTGTTCATGTGTCAGTGTGGAAACTTCTAGTCAGCCCTAGATCTTTCACACCAGCTGGTGCTCAGGGCTTCTGCTCTGAGATAAAGTGAGCAAGGTGTTAAGAATGATTACATAATGAGGCTCAATTTCACTTAACTCTGGAACCAGGGTAACAAGCCATTTAAGGACAACGGGGTGGTGCGCTCAGCTGGCGTCTACATTTACCCTACAGGATGTTTGAGGGATTTTTATAGCCATACCTGCCTAACCCATATCTTAGTATTTCCCTTGACCGGGGACATACTTAATTGTTTGGGGTTTTGTAGCTGTGCTTGCTGGCTTGAATCCAGGCCTATGATGAAGTCACGGGATTTCTCCAGAAATAACCCAGGTGTTCTGGTTACAACAGCCCCTGGGGGAGTTAACCCAGACTGGATTCCAAGGTCAGTCCTAAGTGCAGCCAGCAGCTGGTGTCTAGGGCTCTCCCTCAGGGGGTGCTGCTCGGGGAGCAGAGCATGAGCTCTGTAGTGGCAGGAAGTGGGTTTTTCCATCTAAAACTGGCAAGTGGTGCCCAGCATGGGACAATGTGGGGGACTGTTCGGTTGGGAAACAGCTCCCCACGGTTTGCCCCAGGTCCGTCGGATCCTTAGATGAGCTTAGAGAAGGGAAATGAGCCCGTATTCACAGACTCTTCATTCTGCCCTTTGCATCCTGCCCCCACTTCCCAAGAATGGGGGGGCACAGGGAGATAGCTTGAGCCTTGTCCCCTTTATTTCCTCCAAACAACTCCCCTGAGGAGGGGAAGGGAGCCACCTGCCGAGGAACCGTAGTACCTCTCAGGTGAGCGTCTGTACTCGCCCCAGCCCTCTAGAAGAAGCTCTGGGGTCTCAGAGGCCTTCATACGCTAAGTGGCAAGTCCGTGGTTCGAGGGGCGCCCTCTGCCCCGTGTTCCCCCAGAATTCTGCGACTGAGGTTATGATGGGGAGTGTGTCACTCCCAGAGCTGAATCCAAGAGCAAGGCCCAAACCCAGGAGCACCATGAGGGGTCGCTGGGCTGCAAGGAGAGAACAGGCCCCTCCCGCCAGGTGGGAAGTGGGCTGCAAAACTGGCATTGGAGAGCCCCGTTCACACCCTCCCCAGCCACCTCCCACCCCCACCCGCGGCCCCCACCATTACCTAGTCTCCACTGGAGAGGGTGCTTTTGGCCCAGGGGAGTCTACACACAGCAAAACCTCCCGCTGAGAACCAAAAGAGGCCACTTGAAATCCATTTCCTAACTGCTAACAGATTTAAGGCCTCTCTTCTAGCAGAAGCACTATCAGCAGTCAGACGGAGCATGCTGGGACCTCTGTACTTCGTGATCAGTTTCCTATGTCATTAAATTGGCCCCTGGTGCTTGGCTCCCATGACAGCCAGGCGAGGCCACTTGGGTGGCCCTAGCTCCAGTAGCCCATGAGGTTCCTGAGCTGGGCTGGGCTGACTCCCAGGCACTTGGGGGTGATGTGTAGGTCCACTAACCAGCTCCTTCATGGGAGCGCAGCATGCTAACGTCGGCCCTGAGTTGCCTCCCAATGACATAAGTCCATTGCCTGTTGACCTGGGAATAAGATGCAAGGCTCTCTGAGTATTCCAGAAGTTAAGCTTACTCTGTTGGACAGAATGGGGAAAATGTCCTATCTGTATGGGAAGATGCTGAAAATAGAATGATATGAAAGAGACAATTAGGATAGTATCTATGGAATACATACTGTGTGCCATCCCTGTTTGACAGATGAGATCACCAGGGATCGGAGAGATTCAGTGATCTCAGGATCCCAGGACCCAGCCCTGCAGTTAGTAACTGCAAAGCAGATCTTGACTCCAAAGCCCAGACTCCTAAACCTGGCCTGCCCTACCCGTCCTTACCAAGGCATCGTGTTACTGCTATTGGTGAATCCGGATGTCGGATGCGAGTGTGGTCAGTCAGCAGCTGTGTTGGGCTGCTGTGGGCTCTACACTATAGAGGACAGGTCCCAGGAGGGCCGGGGTGCTGTGGAAGGCTCACGGTGGCAGTAGGCGCGGGGAGCTTTGCAGGCTGCAGCCTGGTGTCAGAGGCTCTCAGGCAGAGCTGCTGGGATGGCCGAGAAGGCCCTGCTGGTGCTCCGGACAAAAGGAACGCTGCCTGGCTGAGGAGTCCCCTGAGGAAGGGCGAGAGAAAGCAGCAGCAGATTCATCTGGGGGATTTGTTCCCTTTTGCCATTCATGCCAAGCATGACTGAAAACCATGAAAGATGTCCCTGAGCTGCCTGGGTAGTATCCGGTGCGGTGGCCCAGCAGTGTGTTGGGGGTCTGGTTTGGTCCCCACTTGGCCTAGCAGATGGCCTGTGGCTTACTGAGCTGAGGCACCCAGTCAGGGAGCGATGTTCTGTGTCTGTTCCTCCCCATAGCTTCTCCTCAACCAGAGGGAAGGGGGCAGGGGATGAGGACGGGCAGAAGGAGGGCCCTGCCCAGTTGCCTGCTTCTCAGAAGGCTCCAAGCGAACAGCAGATGTGCCGGGGAGCTTACGTGCAGCCTGTGGGCCCAAGACACCGAGATCCCACTCTGGGGAGCAGGAGCTGGGTGGGACTTCTCCACTCTAGGCCCAGTGCAGACCCCAGCTAGCAACACCTGTCCCACAGAATCTAAGACATGAAGCCTGAGCCAGAGACACCTGGGTTCCAGGGCTTGTACTGGTGTTTCCTTGACGTACAAGGAAGGCAAGTAAACTCACCTGTAAAGTGGGAATAACAGTAATACCTCCTGCCTTACAGGCTTGATGAGATCTGATAGGTCTACAATGCTTGGAAAATGCCTGACGCAGATAGAGTTCACAGTTCAGGGTGGGACGGATACAGGAGAGATTTTTGGTTGTCTCAAGCCCCATGTTACTGTAGTTGGTGGACACAGATGCTCTGAGCTGGTGGCCCCTCGGAGAGCATGCAACCCATTATACAGATGGGGAAATCAAGACCCAGAGAAACTGGCCAAGCCAGGAATAAAATACTTCTTCCTGGAGCTGCCCCCACTGCCTGGTGGCATGGGCCAGACACCATATACAGGCAGGACGCCCATCTTCTGGGACTTCTCCATCCCCAACCCTGCCTTGACCGGGTTGGCTAAAGGGAGCCCTTCTAGGCAACCACTTCTCTCAAATTATTAGTATAACTTCCTCACAGACCAGGCCTCCCAGAGATGAGGCCCAAAGGCTGACATGATTTATAAATTCATGCAAACCTCCCGCATTGTCCTCCTAGGAAAGAGCAAGAACTTCAGACATAAATGATTAATCCATTAAAATAAAAACACCCTCCACCTCCCCACAGTTCAGACAAGTAACGATTCATTCCCAAAACACAATAATCATCTCCCAAATCTGTTGATGACTCCAGCTTGGTCCTTTTGTGAATGCACCTCTTACTTAGGACATATTTATGCTGCCTTTCACCTTGGAAATGATCCATGTTTCCCAAAGAAAACAGGCCTTTGTGTTACATATTCAAATGTTTTCACTGGAGGGTTTTGCAAATTTAAAAGAAAATGAATGTGTTTACCCAGAATATATTAATTTCAAATGATTTTTAGTGTGTGAATTAATACAAAAGGAGAGGGGAGATGCGGGCCAAAGGAAAACAGGTGGGTCTTTGTTGCCAGCAGGAAGCTCTGTCTGCACCCCACCCCCTCAGTCTCTCACAGTGAGAATGCAGGGCTTTTCCTGACTGGGCCCCATCCCAGTGGGGACCCGGGCTACTGGGGTCTTTGACACCTCCATGCCCCCCGTTCTTCTCGGGCTCGCCTGTCCCCCGGGGAGGCTACATCCAGATCTCTGGCTCTGGTAGGAGTGACCGCTTCTGCCCAAAGTGAGCAGGTGTTCCCTCTGAGCCTGGGGCCTGGTCCACACCCGCTGCAGGATGGGGGGATGTGTCATCACGCATGAGGAGGACAGTTCGGTTCTCAGGCCAATGAGTGAGCTCCCACCCCACTGATGGGATGATGCTTTTGTTTGGCTTTTTTTAAGCATCCTTGTGTCCATTTTCCAGGTAGCAAGTGGTCAGGTCAGGGCACGATGGGCTTCTAGGTGGAGCTCCTTGGCTCCTCGAGGTTGCCTTCCATGTCACAGGCTCCCTTTGTCCAGGGCATGGAGC